TTTGATTTACATGGAAGACATTTTACTTTCCAAAGAAGAAATTAAATAAGACGCATTATCAGAAAATAAATATGTTTCTGAATCCAAACCTTCACTTTCTAGTGCTTCTTTAAGCCGTTCTGCCAGCTCTACTTTTTTCCCTGTCGTCTGCAGATTACGATCCTCTAGTTCTCAACGCAACTCAGCCACTTTTAAATAACACAGTTTTTTAGCCATTTTTGCCCACTATTTATTTACAGTTCCACTTCTAACACCAATCTACCGATTGTTTATTTAAAAATAGTTTATTTATAATTTATTTACACTACGCACTAATTAATTTATTTTATATTATATAGGACGAACAGATAAGCTCACGCGCATGATATCTTCTCTCTCTTCCTTAGCTGACGTCAACGCGTTACACATTTTTGGCATGTTATTTGAAATATTTGAAGTAAATGGCTAGATGCATGCAACCTCTAAAATGAATGTCAAATGTAGTCAAATACAGAAAAGTTTCAATTTATACAATATGAAAAATCTTTACCTCTACTTTAACAAAGCATTAAACAATTAATTGCAAACACCATAATTTCTTTAGCTATTTTGTTTTGTGCGAATAAAACTATTATAAAAGCCTAAATAGATTTATTACAATTAGGCATTCCAAACAAATGAATTACCAGTGGGCAGGTTTGGTATATCTAAGGGTGGCGACATATGGTGTATTCTATCTACTTTACGTAAAATCATGAATAATGGATTACATTTAAATATTTTATGTCAAACAAAATAAAAATATTATTTAAAAAACCCACCCATAGATTTCTTCATAAATTGGCAGGCTTGGCGACTACTACTTTGAATAAAAATAGCGTCCAAGTTGCAAGACTGTCGCTACCCCCTTAGATATACAAGAATTTCCCACTGGCACCTATTGTTTGACAGGTCGTTGGAATGCCTAATTAGATATTCCAAACAAAATGGCTGCCCGTAGGAAATGACAGGCACATGATGGGTTATAAATGGCAACACTATGGGCCTGGTGATTTGACAGGACTAATCATATAGATAGTTATATATATTGATCATCCATGTTTTTTAAAATAAACAGGCTTACGCCTTGAAGTAAAAATGTAGGTAATTATTTTTATTTTACTACACAATGCCCAGGCTGAAAATTGGTTTTAAAACAAATTTTTGCTAAACCGATTCAAATTTATGAACACTTGCTAGGCAATATGGCCGTTCGCAAACAACCCGCTTTGAGCAATCAGTATAACTATATATCTATTATTGAACCTGTCAATGACAACAGGCTCACATCGTTGCCATATCTAAACTGTTAGTTCTCACTGGCAGCATTTTGACAGATCGTTGGAATGCCTTATAACAAAACTAACATGATAAAATGTCAGAACTGTCAATAATTGTCAGTAATTGAATTAGCTGCCATGTTAATGCTAAAAAGTGATGTGTGAAACTGAGTGCAATCTGACCTATCAGAAGTCTACAGAATTGCCAACTTAAATTCAAAGTTTAAGTTAAGTTCAGGGCTGGTATATCTAAGGGGGTCGCGACATAGGAGTCCATTTTGGACGCCATTTTTTCGAAATAGTAGTCGCCCATTGATCTGGCAACGTGGCAACCTGTAGTCGCCAGGCTTACCAATATAAAAAAAAAATAATGTTTTTTTTTAAATGACATTTTCATTATAAAATGCCCATATTTTTTAGGTTAAAATATTTTAATTTAATAAATTATTAATAATCTCACATGTACATAGAATACGTCGTGAAAAGTAGATCACTTTCAATTTTGTGCTGTTTTGGTTTCTTTTAAAACGTACTTCAGGATATGAAGACAATTTTCTTATAGATGAGGATGCAAAACAAATTATGGCTCCCTTTTTTAGAACTCCAGTCCTCTAAGTCTATTTAAATTGTTGATAGGTATATTATTCACTTCATTTTTATGTTTTTATTTAATTTAAATAATTTTGTGTAATATCTTGCGATTTGTTTTCTATACATTTTAGCATGTATTTGTTGGTTACATCTTACAAAGGATGGCTTTGAAATAACTTTACAACAGAGGTAGTTTCCTAAAACTGGCCGAAATTTGAAACTGAATACAGTTCTTAGAGAAAATCTCCAGTAAAAAATGTCTGCATGCAGAATAACAGTAGCATAGCATAGCATAGCGTAGCATAGCATAGTAACAAAGCTGACAAAAGAGTTGGACAAACCTTTGTCAAGCTTTTTTAATATTTCAGGATAATAGTGTTAACAGCAGACCACAACAATAACAACCGAAGTTTAGTAATCAAGCAAAATATTTCAGTATCTCCAGAATTATAAACGTATGAAAACTATAATAGGAAACATGTATGGCTTCGAATAGGAAATTACCTAAATTAGCATATCTAGTGAATATTGTATTTAAAGAATATATTTTTAATCAAAACTTTTGTGCTTCTACTCCAATACTAACCATATTACCATATAGAAATGCATATGCATTTTATAGTATTAAGCAAGATTCGGATCAAATGTACCCACAATTTATAAATATTATTAAACTAAAATAAACATTTCAAATAACACCTGCTTTTTATTTAAATAAAACATGTTAGGACCGATTCCACCGTTGTGGTAAACGAAGATTAAAATGACATTGTTAATGTAAAAATGGAATATATGTTTTTATAAATAGATAAATTAGTCTCAACCACACATTTTTTTTGTTTTTACTTCTAGTGTAAAAGTGACTACTAATTCACAGTCTTTCAAGTTTATTATTTAAAGAGATCAGCTACTACAAAATATTCTATTGATGATAACTAATTTCTCTTTAATAATGGTTTTGCATTTATCAACATTTTACAGCACTTTGTTTACATAAAACATCTATTTAGCTCTTAATTAAATCACATTTAAATCAAGTAATTACATTTTCATATTCAACTTGTATGTATTCTTATTAGAACTTAGTCACTTTTTTTTTAAGTTGAATTTTTTGACTGTTCACCAAACCACAAACTTAAGTCACTTAAAAATGTTGAAAGAGAATGTCATAAAGGTAAAATTCCTTCTTCTATGATGTTTTCCATGCAATTTTAGGTTGCAAAGGTTTTGTCCAACACCTTTTTTACAATTTATCCCAAGCAACACTATGATTTACAGCGTTCAGTTTTGAGATGAGTGCAGCCACAATGCAGTTTCAGAGATAATTTTCACATGAACACTTATTTACCACAGCACAAACGCATGTACCTATTCATATGTAACATTAAAATAAAGTGGAAACAAATTGCATAATTCGGTATATAAAAAAGTACAAAAAAACTACGAGGAAAACAGTGGTTCATTCCACTTGTACCATATTGACATTATTTTGCACGATGCAGGATAAACGATAACCGTGGATTTCGCCAAACGAACATCAGAAAAGTGTTGCCAACTTAAGCTGACTACTATTTCCCCCCTAGCCTCAGTCACCCCCTCGTCCATTTACTGGGTCTATGTCGCGACCCCCTTAGATATACCAGCCCTGGTTAAGTTTAAAAACAGAGTATAATTGACATTTATATTTACATTGTCCACTGCTGTCTACGTCTGTCTATCTACAAACTGTCTGTCTACAAACGACGTGTACCTTTAGTTAACATCTGAGACTCATAGATGACGCCATCGTTGCTGCGGTCGTTGGTTTCCTATCTTTATATCCCTGATCTGTAATCAAAATATACAAATGTTTAACAAATTGACAAATTCAAAATTATGCTACCTGACATAAAACATAATTAATCTACGACTTGCCAAAAACTTTTTATTTCATCCATTTTATATTTAAACAATAAAGAAAGCGAATGGACTTGGGGTCTTTACGAGACTTTATATTATACTCTTCACAGTTAAACAGACCCTCCTAACTCTAGTTTTCAGATTTTTCCCCCTTTAAAGCTTGATGTTTCCCTAAGATTTCAATTTAATAAGGTTTTTTATTAGGTTTTTTTTCAATATTTTAACCCTCCTTATTCCCCAATTTTCATTAATTTTTTTTTCAGAATCAATAATAGGCTTCATTCCCTCATAGAGCTTGATTTTTACTAAAAATTTCATGTTGATATCACTTTTGGTGTTTGATTTCCATTGTTTTTTATTTCAATCCCCCATTTTGTTCACACACATTTTTTTAAATCAATAGTATTTGTCCCCATGTAGAGCTTGATTTTTGCTAAATATTATAAGTAGATTATATTTTTCGTTTTTGAGATATGATTTTTTTTAATTTCAACCCCCTTGAACTCCCAACTTTTAATTTAATCAGATTTTTTCAAAATTTTAACTCCCTATTTTTATTCAGATTTTTTCAAAATCAATAGGCTACCTTCTTTCCTATAGGGCTTGGTTTTTCCTGAAATTGATATCGTTTTTCGTTTTTGACTTATCGTGCCGACAAAAAACGTGACATCGGACGGACGCATGGATGGAACCGAATGCATATTACTCTTCACATACTACTGTGTAAAGAGTATAATAATCAGGTATTTTTTAAAACTAACTAATAGACAATATTTTAGATGGTCTTAAATTAACAGGTGGTTTCCATTATACAAAAATTAACAAAGGTATGATACTTAGCTAACAAAATCTCGTCGAGTTCACGTATGACGCATTGTGTTGTAGAATATTATTATCTGATTGACCATGATCAGATTAAAATTTATTTTCGAGCGCTGTTTTCGATCATATGATAACTCAAATTTGTAAAAGCCATACCTTCCACCACAATACGTCAACGTGACGTATAGGATCAATCTGCGTAATATCATACATTCTTTTTATAGTATCATGGGTTACTCCTGAGTGTAAATTTGAGAGTCCGTCGTAGTGGGAATATTGCTTTGGCTACCATCTCGGAAAATAGTTTTTGTAAATAATTTGAAAACGGTTATATATTCGAGTAAAATACATTCGTTATGCAACGAAACAGATTATTATAATATTTTTCAGGGATAGGCACCAGACCTTTACTAAAAATAGTTGATGAAATCAAACTGAATCCTACAGCAGTAAGAGTCAAATCCGTAAAATCAATCTTGCTACATAATCTTGCAGATAAATCTGGACAGTATCGAGTAACTGTAGAAGAACCTTTCGATATAATTCCACAAAAAGCAGTTCTAGAATCAAATAAAGCACACGAATTGAAAGTTTTTTGTACTCCCGTTACAGAAGAGAAAAATCTTAGCAGTAAAGTTATTTTACACTGCGATGATTTGATTCTGAAAATACCTGTTACATGCGAAGTACAAGAAGCTGATATTTCTTTGGAACGCTTTTCTCTTAATTTTTTTGAAGTTTTTGTAGGTAAGTTATTAAATTTTGAATAAGATTAGGTCAGGTTATTATATTTTACCATTATGAAAATACAAATTAAATGATACATTTCAACTACGATACCGTTTTTCAATTTCTTATTTTTTTGTATCAGGGGTTTAATAAGTATAGGTACCCGTAATTAAGGGGGCGTCCATTAATTACGTGAGGTATTTTTGAGGATTTTGTGACTCCCTCTCCCCCCCTGGTAAGATTTCGTAAGATTTTCCTCAACTCCCTCCCCCCTCCCCTAATCTCTCGTGAGATTTTGAAAAATTTTTGTTTTGGGTGTAAATGCGTTGGATTATTAAAAAAACAAACAATATGTTTTATTACTTTTATTTAAGACTAAAAATTTCTAGAAACATTCTTTAATTTAATTTTCACGCAATTTTACACCGTTTTCTACTAAACAAAAAATTCGTCAGATTTACAAAGACCCCCCTCTCCCCCAAGTGAGATTTGGAAAGATTTAGCTTGATCCCCTCCCCCCCTTGAACACCTCACGTAATTAATGGACGCCCCCTAAGAAGAAAGTTTGGGTAAATATCCAAGCAGAGAAGTAGGTAAAAAAATAGTTTAGACAAAAGTTATTTAATATTTCTTTAAACAACATAGTGCATTAAAAAAAAACGAGTAAGTGAAAATCAAAGTCTGTAATTTTGTAAATTTACTAAATTTTTATTCAATTTTATTCTGCTAAATATACAGAGTGAGTAGTTAGAGCCTGTAAACTAAAAGCTGGGACACTCCGTATACATACAGGTTAGCATTCTCTATTTGAATTAAAAATTAGTTCAAGATTTCGAAACTTTTAATTAGTTTTTACAGTTTTTAACATGTTTATTTTTTACCTACCTAGGCCTTCAGAACTGTGGCACTACGACAGTTCACAATAACAGTCCATTTACTGTCGATTTTCGTTGGAAATTATTAGAGAGTGAAAATGAAGACATTGAAACAATAAAAAGTATGCTTAAAAATTTAAAAAGTTTAACTGAAATGGAAAAACATAAATATGCCAAGCTCCAATATCACGATATTATAAATGCCGAAGGACACCAACAAATACTTGATTATAAGTTCCGGGAAATGGCGGAAAATATTAATGAGGAATATAAATTGTTGTATAAAAATGATGCATTCAGCATAATACCATTGGTAAGCAAATAGCTTTCTTAATATTATATTCTAGATGGCCTACACAATATGTTTGAAATAAGTCTATGTTGTGTTAGTTACAATTAATGTCATTTTGAGATTTAGTTAATGTTGTACCACTTTTCCCGTTTTTACTAGTCCTAAGTTTCTATTCTAAATTCAAATTATATAGGCTATAATGGTTGTCATAGTTGTCCATTTTATTTACATTACTAAAAATAAGGGTATCTGTAAAAAGTCTACTAAACATACCCTTTATTCCTTATACCAAAAAAAGCCGATTTAAGTAAACTTACCTCAGTAGCAAGTTGATTGTTTCAATAATTGCACATTTAAAATGTCTACGACAATGGAATATAAAAAAAAGAATTTAAGTATGAAATTTGTATTGCCCAACTCATTTAATAAAAAAAAAATGTACTCTTGATAAGACTAGATTACTCCCATGGTTTTGGTTAAATTTGTATATTAATAATTGCACGAAAATCATGGGAGTAATGGTGTTTTATCAAGAGTACCTTGTAGTAAATGAATTGAGCAATCCACATTTCATACTTGCTTATATATGTATACGATTTTTACTCACAATCTTCTATCAGTAATTTTATAAAAGTTTCAAATAATAATATTGAAATTAATTTCATAATGTTCTACGAAGATACCCGTGAAATCGTTTCTAGGCTATAACAAATTGTTTAAAATATTTTACCAGTTTTTTTGGCTTTTTTACTTTCCTATCTGTATACAGATATAAGGAAAGTATAGGAAGCATGATTTTTTTCGACATCGACGGATTTTTACGTTGAGTTTCCCTTGAATCCGTTTTGACTATTTTCGCAATAATGTCTGTCTCTCTCTATTTGCGTGCGTGCGTGCGTGCGTGCGTGCGTGCGTGCGTGCGTGCGTGCGTGTGTGTGTGTGAATCCGAGAACTATGGCTGCGGAAACTGAATCCATTTGCCAACACTTACAACATTAAAATTGTTCATATCCATACTCTTCAGCCATTTTCCCAAAAGTTCTAATTCTGCAGGAATCCTTAAATAACAAGAACATTATTTAATTTAGTAATAATCGTTATAATTCACTTCAATTTTCTCATTTAATCGAAAAATATCATTTGTATTGTCACAATTCGTATAAAATCATATTTTTCCTAATTTTAATTAATTATTTAAATAATATCCTGTACATAAAACTTTGTTTAATTACGTCAACAATTTGTTTTAAATAGCAATAATGTGCAAGGTTGGTTATTTAATAATTATTAAACATTAGTTTTAATAACAATAAACTATGAGAAAGTTATAAAGGTAGTGTCGAGGGGATGCACGAGGCTTTTTCCACAGGGAACGGATCCTCCCCATAGGAGGTCCCCCTTGTAGGAGATTCCCTGTAGCAGCTCCAGCTCATAAACTTCATAGTTTAATTTAAAAGTCTTTATTTTGTATTTTGAATAATTGCATTTTTGAATAGTTAGCTAAGGGTTGTGACATGTGAACAAGTATTAGTGGAGTTGGTAAGTCTAAGTTTTGTGTACTTATTATTATATTGAGCCTGTATTTGTTTATGTCGAGTTAAGACATTTTATATAATCGTAATTACATTATACTTGTTTTGAGAACACTGTGTTTCTTCAGCCCTTGTTTAAAAACGTGTAAGGTTCTTACAGCAGGAGCAGAACCCTTATACAGTTAAGGGCTACAAAGCCAAGTTTAAGGCTAAATAGTGTTTATGTGATTGAGGCCCAAATTCATATATTTTGTTATTCAACCCCCGGGACATAGATAGTCCCATAATTATTTAAGAACACATTCATTGTGATACATTTAATTAATTATAAAAATACGCTTAACGTGACATTCTTTATAAAATCACGCATACCGTGACAGTATTCTTGTATGTTTATGTGTAAATTAGTAATTGTTTTAGTTTGTTTCGACAAAATAGTTAGATCTATTAATAATTATTATAGTTTTATGTACCTATGAAGAGTACGCATATTCTTTTTACTTCGTTTTCCATAATAAAAACACGTCTTCATCCTATTTTGTCGACACAATTAAATGACAAATAGAAATAGAGGTTATGTTAAATAACATCCGGTCCGCCATATTATTTGCCCAAATCGGCCAATTTTTCGGAACGTTTTTTAGGCGGCTATATCCTATCCAGTAAAATAATACAGATCAGTGGATAATACCCATCTATATACACTTCCTTTTTTTAAGATAATTGACATATTGAATCTATTGCATTTCATTCTATCAGCGGAAGTTTGAAATCTTATTTTATTATAACTATATCTAGCAAAAAAATTTTAAGTGGCTCCTTGGTCAAGTTCGCCTAGCGGTTGAAAGCCTAGAACGATAATATGCGTCATAAAAAAGTGACAGTTGACGGGAGACAAAAAATTCCTTCTGATGAGCCGGCTAAGATGTCTTGAGCGTCTACCGTTTATGCATACTCACTTCCACAGTAAACCCAAATATCCGAAAAGGGATTCATAGGATGTTTGCGCGACTTTTGTAACCGTCAAACAGATTTTGACGCCGATTTTTTTCGGAAGCGTCTCGTGGGTCCCACCTTCGGTGCAAGTTTCGTTAAATTCCGTCTATCCGTTCGGACGATACGATTTTTTTGTGATTTTGGAAACCCTATTTTAAATTTTCTCAATAAAAAGAAATATTTCCCACATAGATCACTTTTCCATAGGGTTCGAGCGGAGTTTTTCTCTAGTTATCCCTTTGTTAAGACTATATCGAACAAATATCTACTGTTTCAGAAACCGGCCATTAGTACGAGCCCCTTCCCATTTCAGTTGGCCCACCTATTGAAATTTAGGAAATTCGTATTTAAAGATTAAAAATATAAATATTGCATAAACTTTCCAATTTTTATTCATTGAACAATATATTTAATATCGTTTAATCTAAAAAATATGTAGAAAATATTAAAATATTTATTTAATATAAAATTTAAAAAAAAAATAAAGAAATAGTTGGAATCAAACGTTAATCAATTTTAAAGTTTACCATTGAGTAACGTCACCTTTATTTTTTATTACAGTTGAAATTCTTTGCGGCATGGTATTAACTAAGCCTTGGCAAAATTCTGGTGTAAATGAATCCCATATATCTTGAAGTTTTTGTTTAAGTTCAGGTATTGTTCTTGCAGGATGTTTTCGAAGTACCTTTTTCATCTCATGCCACAATGTTTCTATTGGTGATAAATCAGGACTACTAGAAACCCATTCCAAAAGTGGAACACCGAAGTCTTCCATCCATTTTAGAGCTTTTTTTGACGTGTGACACCCTGCTCCATCCTGTTGAAATACAAAATCTTTCCCTGATGTCAAATATAATTCCATAGTCGGTAAAAGTGATTCCTCCAAAATGTCCAAATATTTATTTGTATTTACAATTCCTTCAATAAAATGCAATTTCCCTATTCCTTTAGATGACATGCTGCCCCAGACCATGACCGATGCGGGAAATTTTACTTTTCTTTTGAGACAGTCTGGATGGAACGCTTCATGTTTTTTGCGAATAACTCGACTTCTGCTATCTCCAACACAAACTTCGAATCGGGCCTCGTCACTCCATTATATTGCATCCCATTGATGAGAAGTCCAACTTATATGTTCTTTTGACCATCTTAATCAATTTTTTTTCTGTTTCGCAGTTAGTAGTGGTTTTTCTTTAACCTGTAACAAAATTGTCAATTTTAAGCATATTTGATTGTTTTAGTGTCTTCAATCCATGTTTTTTATTGTTTTTATTGTTATAAACTTACTTTGTAGGTCCCAAATCCCAATTTGCGAGCTTCTCTATGACATGAAGATCTCGAAATTCGTCTTCCAACAGCATCACTCCACTGAGCACTTAATTCAAGGTAATTAGCACGACGGTTAGTTTCAATAATTCTTCTCAATGCTCGTCTATCGGCATTTGTAATCTTGCTTTTTCTAACATGACGGGGCTTTGGGCTGATTGAACCAGTAGTTTTGTATCTTTTAACTATATTTCTTACACTATATCGTGATAAATCTAATATATTTGCAATTTCCGAGTTCGATTTTCCAGAATTGCAATGTTTTATAACAAGAAAACGAATTTTTTCGTCAATTATTTTTCCTCTACCCATTTTATTAGACAGAATTAGTTTAAAAGAGGTTAAATTGTCTTGTGACAGTTATTTGCATTATTGTTTGTTATTTTTTCAAAGCTATCTTCGATTTTGGTTTATTTTCTAACGCATTGAATTCAAGTTGAAATAATGCAATAATGCTCCATGTGTTAATAAATTTAAAAATAAATAAAAAAAATTGATGTTTTCTAGTTCTAATATAATTCTAAATTAATGCATTGTTAATTAATTTATGATTTAAAAAAGCATGTAATCTTTAATACTTTCTTATTGTCGTTATATAAAGAAAATATTAATAGGTGGGCCAACTGAAATGGGAAGGGGCTCGTAATGTTCTTAATTTGCCGCATGTCACTATTTGGAGGAGATTAAAAGGTTAGAAATCTCCTGTCACAATACGCATTTTATAATAGCTGAATTTATTTTTGGATTGTAACGTTTAGTACTTTTTATTTATCTTTGTATTTTGTTTTAAAATTGTTGTACACACCTACACATTACATACCTTTTTTAATGTAATAAAAGATTATTTATTTATTAATACCCATAACCCAGAGGATTTTTAGAATCATCGTGGTGTCCCTTATGCATGGTTACCGTTTGTCCGTTTATCTATGAAACACCCTAAAGACTTTTTCACTCACAACGGTTCATATTTTGATATATTAAAATAATTGTAATAAAACCCCTAACACTCCGTCTCAAGAAATACTAGAATGAGAAAATTCAGTCGCGTTTTCGTACTTATTTAAAATTATTGTTTTTTTTTCAGGAAGGCAAAATCTTACCACATCAGTCTTTTGATTTTAACCTAATATTTGCTCCAACAAAAAACGATGTATACCTTAGTTCCGCTTATCTAGATGTAACAGGAAGATATGAAAGGTTCCATTTAAATCTGTCTGGTGTAGGAAGAGGACCCTCTGTTGTATTTAATGTTAATAAACTGAATACAGGCACCATTTTTCTGGAAGCGGAGCATGAATATCAAGTGATAGTGAAAAACGAGGGTAATAATTTAAAATAATATTTAAAAAAATACTGACTGTAGTACCTACCTAATAATATGAGTGGTGACAATAGACTATAACAATGCATCGGAGTTTTCAATCAAACAATTAATAATTGTGTTTAGTTTAATAAGAAAACATTGATTTATCCTTTTAATTAAGCATTTAGAAGAAAATTGCGATTATTAAACCATTTTTGATGAAATTTCCCACTTAAACCCACGCTATAGAATAACTACACATTGTTACAACGGTGCCAAATATTTTTAAATAATTTGTGTTTTTTTCTCTTAATACGTAAATTATTTCAGTGATTTGTATTTTTGTTGTAACTTATTTGACGTTTGTGGACGTTTTTAAATTAGTTGAATCTGCTTTCACAAATCCAGGATTCATATTAAATACTGACAAATGATTCAGAAATAGAAATATAATCCAGAATTAATTGTATGTCTATAAGAATAACACAGCTGTCATTGAAATTATTAAAGCACAATTTTTAAAATGAAAGCAATTTAATTATTTAACATATTGGAGTATATGGATGGTAAGGTAATAATGTTTATATGTTTCTCTATCGATTTCATAATTTTTTTTTTCAGGAAAATATTTATTTGTCTTCGATTTGAAGAATTTTAAACCAGCCTACTCAAACCCTGGTTTTTGAAATGGATATAATTTAAGTAATTGACACATTCAAAGCATATGAACGGTAAGTTGATGAACTTTACACGTAATTCTATCGATTTCATAATTTTTTTCAGGAAAAATTCTATTTCAGCGATTTGAGAAACTTAACCTTATTCCTGATTTTGAGAGTGAAAATAATTTAATATTTACAGGTTGAGACAATGCCTGGGTCCGTCCAGAAAAGAAGCAGGTGAGCCATATATTGAGGGCCAAAAGGCAAAATCGACATTTTTCAGATGAAAAAAATATTTTAGGCATAGAACAATCCATTTTACTCTATAATAGGACTAATATTTACCCATGTCTTGTTCAAAAATTGTAATACTTCCCCTATACAGTAAAGGTAGCGAAACGTTTTAAACGAGATTATCATAAAAATATAATTTTAAGTGGAAATGTTAGTTAAAAGGTCCTGCATTCTGGCCCTCGATATAAGTTCTCAGAGTTATTAGGAAGTAGAATAGCAACTTTATTGTTATGCATATGGAATCAATAGTATATTTTATCCACATGTAGAAAAATATTTTTTGTTTAAGATTCTGTCTATTAAAAATCAAAGTGGAGAGGTCAGAAGAAATGATAAGAACTACGCCTCTACATTTTTCTTATACACATATTTGTAAAAATAAAATAATAAATTTTCGAAAGTTTACTTTGTTCTGCAAGATAAATAAATAAAAAATAAAGTAGTTTTATTATATAATAATATAAATTATCAAATATTTGTGTACTAATAAATAATAATTTAATATCTATTAAATTTAACTATTTGACAGTGCTTTTATAGTAAAAGAAAAAAGTATCGAAAACAGCTGATATGAATTGGTCAATATAAAATGTATATAAAATATTTAAATTAGGATCCCATTCAGCCTCTACGGATTATGGCCAAAAAAGACACAGTATAAATCGCAACCCATGATGTATAATCTGCCTTGGATAAAAAGCATTTTTAGCTTCTTCACGGCCTTCTCAGTTGCGCAAATATTGTAATGGGCATAATACAATAAGGTAGCCATGTTGTAGCAAATCACTTGGCCTCTGGGACATGTGCTACTGCTTTAAAATCAATTTCAAGAGTTACCCCTTAAATAAATTGGGTAAAGATTTTCTCAAATCACGGAAAAATAATTCTTTTCCTGAAAAAAAGATCACGAAATTGATAAATTTACATGTGAAGGTTATCAACTTACCGTTTATAAGCTTTGAATGTGTCAATTCAATTTTATCTACTTCACAAACCAGAGTAGGCTGGATTAAAATTCTTTAAATCGAAGACAAATAAATATTTTCCTAAAAAAAAAAAAAAAAAAAAATGAAATCGATGGAGAAATATTATATAAACTTTATTACCTTACCATCCATATGCTCTAATATGTTAAATAATTAAATTGCTTTCATTTTCAAAATCATGCTTTAATAATTTCAATAACCACTGTGTTATTCTTAGGGACATTAATGACAGTTGACAGTATGGTTCTTCTGTTGGCATCCAATGCTATGACCTTCCTCAACCTGTGATGCGCAATAAACACGCTTATTAATTTTAGTTTCAAAATGACATATATACGAAGTTTCTGACATTTGATTTATTAGGAAATATAATGATGCTACAATTATATCGCGGGGTACCGCCTAAATGCAATCAAGCGGTTTAGGTTTGTAACCATTTTTACTGCCTGTCGAACAAAAAAAAATTTGGAATTTTTATTGTAGGTATTAATATTTATTTAAAATACATATAAAACATTTTAAATATACTATCAGTAAATTTTAATCGATGTTACCCTTTTTATTTTGTTACAACAATACTTAAAGCATTGCCCAGAATTGTTAAAAAAAGAACTGACACCTAATTATTTTTCTATTTCACTCTTGCTATAATACACACAGGAAAATAAAAATAGACATTTGGCAACAGCATTTAAATTTTCTGAATTTATTGGTACAAGTCACGGGCCATAGGGGACAAAATTTTCAACTTTAACCATTATTTCTTCGACCTCCAGTGATATTTGAACGGAAAAATTTTGCTAAAGTACTTTATAAGTGGTATAGTTTAAAATCGAGTAATAAAAAAATTTGACTGTTATAGTTCATTTAAAAACAAAGAGACGGGCTTATAACATATCCAGTTTAATTATGAAGTTAGGGGTTGTAACTTCATATTGTAGATTAATAAAGTAATAGACAACAAAAATAGAGAAGCTCTTTTTTGTCTATCATTTTAAATGTACTAGACTAAATAAGATTTTTTGATGTATTAAAAAGTCCAATAAAATTAGTCGAATTTGAAGCCAAAATTTAAAAAAGCAATTACATTTAAATGATTATTTATTGGAAGTAAGAAATAAATGTCTTTTAAATATTCCAGTTTCATTTGTTAGGTCTATGCCATATTATTATGTCTGCGGTCAATTGTCAAATTTAGGTACGCTTGTCACTTATTGTACGTTGTACCGGAAAAAATGTATTATTTTATAATTTAGTATAATTCACTTTGTTTTACTTTTAACACAGCATAAAGATTAACTGTGCTTTTAACTTGATTTATTGTGGTACACCACCCCTAAATGTTTTCTAATTGTAATTGTTGATAACAATTCTATTTTTATTCTAATTAACTCCATGTGGAAGGTATCATAGAAGTTTTTTGTCCTGTTTTAATATTAAAAAATTAATTTGTAACGTCTTTTATTACTGCTTTGAAGGTGGCTTTGTTAAACCGAAAGCGCTTAACCTAATTTTTAGTAAAAAAATTTAATTTTTTTCACACTTTTGTACCTTTTCCACTTACATTTCACTAGTAGTGTGTACACCACTCTCAGTCTATCGATATCTTTGTTTGTTGAAATTTTTAAGAAAAAATAATAGTGTGTATACAATATTGTAGGATGCATACCTGCAACGGTGATTTTTCAAAAGACAGAATCCGAATTTGGAGGTGAAATTGGATGTATTCCAGAAAATCAGTATCTGAAGAAGAACGATTCTTGTAAACCATTTGTAGTAAAATTTTCGTCTCCTGTACAAGGACCTTTCGTTGAAAAAGTGTATTTTAAAATTAAGGAATCTCAAGAATTAATATTCTTTCTATTGGTGTAAGTCGTATATAAGTGATTATTTTTTAATGCTATAATAGGTACAGGTACATCAACCAATGACAATCCTCTTTTATTCCAAAAAATCATTTTGGTTGTTCAGATCCATTGTAAACTTTCGACTTTATCTTACGGAAACAAAGTAAATGTTTATAAAAGGTCTGTTTATATTGATAATTAAACTTTCTAAATACCACGTGAACTAATAATTGTTTTTTTATAATAGTTGTAACAAAATCTTTTCGACATACCACTCGACTGACGCTTTGTGGTATTTTAAGGAGGATTTTGTTTCATGCATTTTAGACATTGTTTCCAAAGAAGAATAAAATGTTCTCAAAAAATTTTGCCCTTAAAAAGATTAATAATAAAAAGAGAGAAGCTGAGTGGTGAGAACTAGAGGCAGTAACGAATGGGAAGATCGAAGGCGAGAGCGTGGACGAGTGGAGAAAGCTATAACTAGTGGCGAAAATGAAAGCAAGTGACTTAAAAGAGATGCAAGAACGAATGTAGAGTGAGAGTGAATGGCGAGAACGTTAGGTAAGAAGGAATGTGGAGAGAATGAGAATTAAAAAAGAACAAGTAAAGGATTGCGAGAGCGTAGCGATGGCGAGTGGCAAGATCCAAAACCTGTGGCGAAAACTAGTGGTGAGAGTTAGAACGAGTAGTGAGAACGAGATACGGGAGTGAGATGAGATATGGGAGACTAGAGACAAGAACCAAGAGACAAAAGACAAAAGACGATAGACAAAAGATGAAAGAAGAAAGACGGGAGAATTACTTGCGTTATGACTTAAAATCAAATTGAAGTTAATTTTTTTTGTTCTTAGAGGGAATGTGGTTTGTCCGTTGTTAAAACCAGATGTAGACAAATTAGATTTTGGTCATATGGCTTTTGGTAAGTATTACCCTTAGTTGTAATATAAAGCATGTACCGTCAACCGGGTAAAGTCGCAATCATAGATATTTAAGTCACAAGATGCTTTGGTGAAGTATTTTTGGCCAATGACCATTTGCCTTTTTTGTGGGTAAAGAGTGATCGACTTTACTCCATGAAGTAGGGTAAAGTCGATAACCCATTTAAAACAACGTAAAATCGACAAACTAGGCTATATGTAAAGTAGATCACCAGATATTTTAAAATATCGCAAATCACACAAAAATTGACCTTTATTCAATAGGAACTTATGGTTTTTACAGGAACAAGTTGTTTTAAATGTAAAAGTAACATTTTGTGACTTAAAACATTTTAAAATTTCTAAAATCCATGGGTTTTAAGGGAAACCCACATTTCGCACAAATTTGAAGTGTCTCGACCAACTTGTCTCACTATTGTAGTCTAGCGCTAGCGGCTTTTCATATTTTAAAGTAACCTTTTCATGGACATTGATTTTTACACCGACTGGTCAACTTTCCCCCGGTTGAAGGTAATAAGCTAAGCTAACCATTTGAGTTAGAAGTATATTATGAACAAGTAGCCGCAATAATAATCGTACAGGACTGTCTCAGGCTATAGAGTATAGATCAAGAAAAAAAATTATATCAAGCTATTTAAAAAAATGTATATATTTACATATTTTTAGCAACTGAAATAAGAAAACAAGTTAATTTGACCAATCCTTCTCAAGTTCCAATAGATTTTCAAGTCAAAATGTCAAAAATTAATTATTCAGAAATGCTATTCGATGGGAAAAAAGAAAAAAAACAAGACTTTTCTTATTATCCGACAGAAGGCGTTGTCGCTCCATATGCATGTGTTGCTGTAGAGGTAATTATAATATGATGTGATTTAAAAAGATCGTTTTCTAAAATGGGGCATCAAAAAAATCGATAATAGCTATTTGTGTATTAAGAGCGAAAAATGATTGTCGAACTTTTTATTCAAAATGCACACAAGATTTTTTCTACGATCACATTATTTTAAGAAATAGATATTTAAACTGAAAATATGTTATAAATAGTGTATAATGTGTTGCCTATATCTAGCTTAATCATAAAAAAGGAGTTGATATTCAAAGTCAATGTTAACTTGGATAATAAAACAAAAAACATCAAACTACGTAATAATAACTTAAAAATCATTTATTAATTTAAATTAGGCGAGCAACAAAGCTGTCAAGTTTTTCGCACGGCGAGCGACAAAGGTGTCACTTGATGTCAGTTCGCGGAAAACGTCAACTTTGTGGTTGCAATTCGAAGCGCAAAAGCCTACTTTAGATAGTAATCATAAAAATATTTGTTTTATCACCCAAAAATGTTTCGTCGCCGGCGGGGTACCTGCATGATACACTGGCCTGGTACCACCTGTGTGCTATGACACGAGCAGCCGCCACTGTCAATAGTGTAATCTCAAGGTTTCCCTAGTGGAAAGAGGATGAAGGGATGCAGTAATTTTGAATTGAAACCTAAAGGATTATTTTTTATTTTCTTCACCTATTATAACCTTAACTTACAAATGGCTACCTCCAGTACAAATATTATTTTTGTTTTTAGGTAACGTTGTTTACAAATGTGATAGACAGCGTTAATGAAACTATGATCATTTGCATGTACGGTTCGGATGTTTATAAAATTGAAATACCCTGTAGCTATACATGCTTAATTCCTACTATCACATGCGATCCCCAAGACATTTATATTACGTTTTGTTTTTTGAATTTTGTATACAAGAGAACACTTACTTTTACCAACGAAACAGGTCTCACTGGACAGTTGAATTATACACCTATGGAAGTAAGATTTTTTTAATTAACATTGAAATATATTTAAAAACTAGAATATTTACAAATCATAGCAAGAAAAAAAATGTGACCACATTTTTACACAAAAGACAATTGTCACGTTTTTTTTTAATATGTTAAATTAAAAATTAAAGCACCAAGCATAGGCTTTGGTGAAATTTACTAAATTTTTGATGTTGCAGTTGACGACTTCCTAAACAATAGTGTTAGTTGGCACAACTCGATCCTATACCTATTTTTTGATATACAAATTGGCCGTATTTAAAATATACATGCCTCTTGACAGACTACGAGTACTATTGCTACGTTTGAAAAGTAATTCCTGGAGCAAATCGAGCATATGTGGATTAAAGGAACGGCTATGGATTTGTTTGCGTTTCCCGTTTTCGATTGCCGATTTCCATTAAAAAAACAAACTTAAACCTTTCTTTTAAATCAAATTTGATCTCTCGTCTCGTAGTTTTTGTTGCAAGTTTCAAAGTAAAGTTAATTTTTAGCTGTGGTATTTTTCGCTTTTTGCCTTCACTAGAAAATAAACCATGTTCTCATTTTTGTCTGACATGTATTATAAATATTTTTTCTCTTAATAACCAGACACGTTCATAATATGAAAAAGAATAAAATGTAACACCAGAGACAACGAACGACTGTCTGTACATATCTACAACTTCGACTTCAATTGCATTTGCTATTTTTCTTTGTCAATTGTCACAGAAATTACATTTACTCTGAAAGCTCTAAAATTTAATTCGGAGTAAATAAATCTTACTCGACTTACCAGCTCTGCATTAATAGACCACGGAGCAGATCCTATCGAGAAGCCACAGATGTATTAAAAGTACTATTGGTTATAGCCAAAGTAACAAAATGAAAAATTACTCGAAGGGACCACTTTTTAGACTGAATAAAAATTTTATAAAGTTGCGCCGGAAAATCTGTTTTATCAACTCCTCCCATGTTTTTATTATACAACTGGATTACTTTTGGTCATATTACTGTATACTTTTTCGCTTTTTTATCCCAACGCTTAGCAGTAGGTATCTGAAATCCCACGTCTAATAAAGTTAGAAGCCATGATTACATTGTTGTCAGTCCATTGTGTAATCACAATACTATTTATACTATTGACAAAATTCCTTCATGGTTCCACTTTGATCATTAGCTTTTACATGTACTGGACACTGAGCAGTTCGATTTTTACGTATTGTCCCAAAAAAACCAAATCTCCTTGGTCGTAAAGGCGTTGATGAGAAACAAGGAAGTAAAAAATTATCTGCAAATAATTTGTATGGCATGGAAGCAGCTTAGGTTAAAGAGACCGGAGATGTAACATTGCACACAGCGCATGTTGTCTATTTTAACCTTAAGTAACCCACCAATTAAAAATCATTGTTTCCACGACACCACGCGAATCGTTCCGATTTTTATATTCTACGATCATCTCCGCGTAAGTTAAATCATCATGGACAGGATGACCTACTTAAAATTTCATCCTATTTGCGGTCAAATCGGAAGTGACATTTGAACCTTAAGTCTTAAAATAAAGTTAAACGTTCATATTATCTAGTATAAGCAAAAAGAAATACTAAAGTTACAGGAGTTTTTAATAAAATGTTACATTATAAAATGGATATGCCCCAAGGTGAAATGAGAAAGTACAGTTTGTGAAAAACTTCAAAACCACAAAATTGGGCCACAAGAATAAATGGAGCCAAGAATCCATCGTTCTTGCAACCGAAAGTCATGCTATTAAGTGGTATTCGAATGGTTCTAAGAAACTTAAATAGGAGCGTATTGGCGTAGAACCAGGCACTCCGAAAGCATCTTCCAGGCGGAAATTCACGCCGTCGAGTATATCCAGTTTAACATCGAGAGAATATATATTTATATAACTTTTACACTTCATTAGCATAGGGAAAATAAAATAAATTTAAAAAATATGCAATTATCGACGGATTTTTTTAAATATAAAGCGAGACCTGGAAGAAGCGTTTTTTCCTGGTTTTTTTTTTTTCGTTACATATCTTTTAAAACATTCTGTATATGGTTTATAAACTTTACATATTTTAAAATAGTTTATTGTCTATTATTAATACGCGATATAAAATTGGTAAAATTGTATTAAAAACAGCATACATGACCTACCAACTTTTTGATTACTTAATCCAAGACTAACAGTCGGGTGGGCGCGCTTCGCAAAATAACATAAGCGGGCGCGCTGCGGCACTGCCTGCCGCAAGCATAAAAAAGTACCTACAGATTAATTCCAAACAGCAAAATTTATAAAAATGTTCGGTCGTCAAATGTTTTTTATGTCTATTATACCCAAAGCGAAAGAAATAAATTTTAATTTGTTTTACTGCAAACAAATATACTAGGTACTAAAAACAATAAATAAATAAATAAAGAACTCGTAAAACTGGTAAACCTTAGTATAATTCGTTCCAAAGAAACAGATATTTTTTTATGGAAAAATGAATCGTGCTTTGATTAATCGACAGTAAAGTTTTGCAAAAAATGATAATTTTGTTAAAATTTGAGATATGAATAAAAACAATAGACGAGTTATATGTATAGAATTAGCATAGTAAATATTTTTTATCTCTAGCTTAGTCAGCATTTAAAAAGTTATAAATATATGTTAACTTGTTTATTTCAATAATTCTTCAGATATTCTTCATACTTGATTGTTGTAGTTTGGAATTAAATAGTTTTTTTTTAAAAAACGGTTTTTCCTTTAAAAAACCATAATTGGCGCAGTCAGTAGGATTCGCGCGGGCTACGAAAAACACAATTAACGTTCGCATCGTGCTAACAGTGATTTTTCGGTAGACTTTGGCAGTTTTAACGCCTTCAGTGCGAATCGAACTTTCCATCAACTACAATCATTCCATCGAGGAACCTTCAGCGAAGAAGTCAGACGAATTCGGAAAAAGGAACCAGGATCTACAGAGTCCATCGAGGAACTGTAAGTGCCAAAATCCTTTTTTGCCTCTCCTCTTTCATCGAGAAATAGGAAAGATAGTAATATTAAGTTTTGATTTTAAAAGAAAAGAATATTTAAGTTATATTGAATATTAATTTTGAATTTTGAAAAAAGTTATTTATATTGCATTTATTTTAAAATATTTATATGACAGAATTTGATAAAATTATAGAAAGTTTTAATAAGATTTCTTTAGAAGATAATAAAGATAATAAAATAGAAATGGCTCCACAAGTAGCTAATATTAATTGGAGTTTCTTTAAATCCAAATTAAACAATATTAAACCTTATGACGGGGATAGTAATACATTAAATAAATTTATCAGTAGATGTGATGCACTTTTTCAAAGTTATGCTGATCTGAATAATGATCAATTAAATGCTCATATTTTTGAATGCATCCAAGAAAAACTTATTGATAAAGCCGAATTAAATGTAGGAAACAGAACAGAGTTACAAATCTGGGATGATTTAAAAAATGCTCTTGTTCAATGCTTTTCAGACAGAAGAGATCTGGATTGCCTTGTGCAAGAACTAACTAGAAACTACCCTTATAAAAATGAACATTTATTAGACTTCGGTAGTCGAATACAGTTATTAATGAGTACAGTGATTCAAAAAATCAGTAATGATGTCACATTATCAATAAACGATAAAATTTGTCAAACAAACCACCATAAAAAGACAGCTTTAAATACATTTATTGCGGGTTGTCCACCAATTTTAAAAAATAATTTACATTTAAAAAAGCCAGCTACTTTAGAAGACGCTATGGCCTATGTCACAGAATTTGAAAATTTCGAGAAATTATATGGCAATATTGAACATAAACAAATGCCAAAAATTAATGTTAATCATAATAATCAAAATATAAAACCTAATAATAATTTCTCAAACATGAGACAACAAACTAATCAAAAGTTTTATCCTTTTACAAATCAAAATAATAATTCTAGATTTTACCCTAATAATAATAATTATAATTATCATAGTTATCCAAGATTTAATAATCCTAATAATAATCAACAATTTTCAAAACCTATATTTCCACGACAACCAATACATGTTCAACCAATTCCAGAAATAAATAAAAAATATTTCACCAATCGTCAAGTTTTTGGGGAAAATCTAAGACCTCAAAATGTTTTTAAACCCAATCAAATTAATTCAAATCAATTACCCAAACCAGAACCTATGTCAACCACCTCTCGAAACCCATCACTTATGAGAAACGTAAATTATAATCAAAGACAAAACTATTTTCAAAATAATCAAAAACCAAATTTTTCATTTGAAGAATTAAATAATACACAAACAAATTTGAATAAAAGTTTTGATGATACTGTTTATCAAAACTGTGCTTTAGAAAATGAATGTGAAATATACGCGGATGAACCGTACGAAAATTATAATAATAATCAACAATATAATTATAAAAATGAACCAGAAACTGAAACCCAACAAGATGGAAATTTTCGGAAAGCCAGCCTTTCAGAAACAACTACATGATAGAAATGAATAATTATAGTATAAATAATCCACTACCATATGCAGAAATTAAAAACCCTCCAATCAAACTTCTTATTGACACTGGAAGTTCCAAATCAATAATTAAACCATTCATTATTGAACAATATTTTCCTGGCACAATTTATCACGCAAATATAACATTGAAAACATCATTGGGGAGTAAACAGATCCGATTTCAGTCAGATATCCCAGCATTTGCAGAATTTAATTGCCAGTACGTGATTAATTTCATTGTATATGATTTTCATGACTTTTTTGATGGTGTTATTGGACTTACTGACCTAGTTAACATGAACTTAAATATAGATTTAATAAACAAGAAATTAATAGGCCCGTATGTTGAAATTCCTTTTAAATATAGACAACCAAATGATATAAATTTTTCGTTTACCGTTAATGGTAAAGAATCTCTTTTAAAAAAATTACCTGTTAGTATACAAGATGGAGACATAATTATTGAAGAAACATATTTTGGA